GTAAATATTTATGTACTTATATTTTCAATATATTTCAATATCAATTTCAACAACATTCAAATTAATTAATATGACAGATAGATCTTTATTTGATTTAAGAAGTTATTTTTGAATTGGATGCATAAAATTAGGCGCCCTTCAGAAGAGATTTTGTCATTTAAAAGTAGACATAGGGAAAAACAATATACACAAATCCCTACGTCTACTTCTTAATAAATATTCCTTTATAACCTTACCGTTCCCAGCATGTTAACCTGAAATGATTGTTACGTTCTCTAAATCAATAACATTTTCGAGAACATTTTGCAACGAATGATCCTGAAATAATAGTGAAGTTAAAAATAAAATCTTGCAATAAAAATAAAACTATATCTTTAGATCAATTATTACTGCTATAAAACAAAACATTTCGTGTTGACAACTAGATGGCGGGGTGGCGTATTTTTATGGATGCTTATAAGTTGGAACAATGAAACTTCACATCGAAAATGGATGATCCTCCGATCGTTTGTGGTTTTCTTCAATTTAAGCATAGCCGTATCCGAGCTGACCACGAAAGTATTGCATATAAACCTCCCCTTTACGATGTAGGAGTGGGGCTTGAAGGTTAGTAATAGGAAAACGAACATTTTGTGTTGCTATATGTAAATTGAACAGGAAATCAAATCCCGTATATATCTCATCATGAATATTAAAAAGAAATGCGGGATTTCTGGGAATTGTATCGAAAATTGGAAGTGCATCCCTAATGAGGATTCGGTAAAATATTTTATTATATGCCACCGCTAAACGTGCCGTGGTTTTCAAGTAGATCGAGTTTTTAATTTCGTCTCCACGCATGCCGAAAACTGAGAGTGTCTCACCACATAAATATTACAAAGGGTAATCTCGATGAACGGCAGGAGTAAAAAAGCAATTAGAATTTAGATTTATTAGCCCTACTAAGAATTGTAAAAGTTTTATGGTTTTTTTCTTAATGTGTGTTTCCAAACTTTTGGGGGGTTCAATTTTTCCTGTTATAAAATAGGGTTTTAGGTAAGCTATGTACCATCGTAAAATGTAAAATTCACTTTCTAAATCTTGTAAGGCGCTCAAGTTCGTCGGCCAAATTTATTATCGCTCTAATGGGACGTCTCTGCATTTTGGTAAGATTTCGAAAACTGCCTGGGGCCATCGTATATACTCGTAATTATTATTACCCAGTTTTAATCCAAAACTATCGTCAATTGCGGTTTAGCGTTCGAGAAAATTGATATTTTGCCATTGTCTAAAATAATTCGACATTTTTGTTATGCACTGAATGAATTAGATGGGAATTTTTCGTTATTATCAGTGTAGCGTGTCGGAAATTGAAAGTGGCAGGCATACAACCATCGCTTGGGGGACGAAATATGAGCTCTAATGAATTAGAAACACTGGATCTCCAGGTATCGAAATTTGGAAAATTCTTTCATTGATTTTTAAAAAGAAAATCAATACATTAAAAGGAAGCACGATTTGTGTGTACCTAACTGCCAGCGGAGGAGGTCGATATAGATTTCCCCAAATTTGGTGCCCACGGAACTATTGTCCAGGGGGTGCAAGTTTGAATTACGACATATGCAGAGTACTAAGTTGAATTTTCTTCTTCGAATTGTTAAATTTAGATTTTGAACGAAATTTAATAATAATATAATAATAATAATAATAATATGTATATAAAAATAAAAATAAACAATTACCTACTAAGTAGGTATATAAATGTTGGTTGACCCAAAAGGACGAAGTTCAGATGCAATGGGTCGCCCCATAACCCTGCTCTTCCATGTAACCTTCACTGTATAGTGATTGACTTAAGAAATGACGCGATGCTGTGAAAACAAAAGATAAATGAACAACATTAACAATAATTTTCGATATGAGCATGAATGAGAATGCAGTATTTACAAGATGAATTGATCCGTCCTAGAAAGAAAACCAAACCAAACGAGGTAGTTAGAAATATTTTAAATTGGCTTAATAGCCAAGATTCATTATTCAGATTCTGCGGGGCCCGTGTGGCGCAGTTCAGTTAAAGCTGAACTGTGGCGCTAATAGGGTCCCTGGTTCGAATCCGGGTTCGGGCATGGATATTTGTAAATGTATAGTGGGTTGGGTTGGTAGACCAGCCTTGGCTGAAACCCCGCCTACTCAAAAATAAAAGGCAAAATAAATAAATAAAAAAAAAATTCTGCACGTGTGCTAGATCCCTCATATTTTTTAGAATATTCGATGTCCTTCCTTTCTTCCAATTATAATCGCACACCGAAAATTTAAGCGAATATTTCCCATAAGTTCTCGAGAACTTTACAAAAAACATTTTTTCCGAAATTTTTAGTCTATACTAGGATTTAGGGGAATTTTTCGAAAGAAATTCCCCTTATGTGATGGTTTTGTCCGTCCGTATGTTCCTCGTCTAACCCGAGAATGAAGAGGAACAGCAATATCAAACCTTCGCCAATCGATTTCAAGTATCAGTGCTATTGAATATGAGCCGGATTAGAGGTCGTGTTTCCGAATGCGAGCTGATTGTCAAAAAATTCCCTTACTGAAAATCGTACGCAATTCTTCGCATCTATTAACCAGCCAACCACCGATTTCACGAGCTTACGCGAATGTTAACGAGCATACGCGTGCAGTAGTTTCTTCTCGGGAAAGTTCTTCAATACTCAGATATCCAATTTTAAGAGACCCGCACCAATGAACTGTTGTGAAATTTTTGAATATTGTTATTTTCGAATTCTTTAGTAAGTTTCCTTTAATTTGTACGGGTTTTGTTTTAAAGGTGCTGCGATTTAACAGTTTATACCATATAATTGCCAGTCACAGCACACCTTGTGTCTATTTACAATCAATGTTTTTCTAAAGATGTGAGCAATTTCAGGAATAGGATTGTGCCAATGTTGAATGAAAAATCTTTTTGTTCAACATTGACATGATACTACCTATCCCGGAAGTCGCTCACATCTTTAGAAAAACATAGATTGTAGACCAGGATCAGGTGTTCTGTGACCGGCAATCTTTCCTGGCGAGAGGTTTATATTCATTCGGTGTTTGGGTGTATTGTAATTAGGATAAAGGATAATTATGCATATATTTTGTAAAAGATAGTCTTGAATATTCGCAACAATAAGTAAATTGCGGGAATTTTACAACAATACTCATTTTTCATGGCGCCTCGATGGTGCTTGGGATTTCGCTACAGTGGAAACCGTAGAGAGAAATCAGTAGGAAAATTCCGGCGAATTGTATATTTATTATCACGATAAACAACGTTGCCATTTCTTTGGCGTGAATCATGTGTCTCATATAGGAACAGAATTGGTTTACATCTGGTGGCACTGGTCAAAAATTTTTTTTCCTTGAAGTTGAATATTCAGGTTTATCTTCAACGTTTTTTTTAATGACGTATGTATTTGATGCAAAATGGGCACATTTCCAAAAGGGCAAAAAAAACCTATAGAATCACAAAGAATTATGAAAGAGTAAATTTTTCGCATTTTTGTGAGATGTTCTGATTGTGCTGGCCAACTTACGTTCTAGAAAGGCAATTTGAACCAGGTTTCGATCTGTTCAGACCGCCATCAGGTCCAGCTCGTAAATCATCGCATTTTTACCAAATTTGTATACCTTGCCCCATTTCATTTGGCCCAATGTGAAAAAAAGCATGTTTGAATTTTATTATCGGTATTGTTAGGATATGCCAAAGGGCCTTTTAGCCTGATTCATTTATTACCAAACACACAGGTAATAGTACCTATAACGTAAATTATTTTTCAAATATCTAGAAAGATTTTCAATTTTCGCTTCGACCCAGCCCGTTGCGGAAATTAAACAACCTTTGAGATAAAAACGTTCTATAGCCACTTTTTCCCTTTTAGAGTTTTAGGGCTAATGTTCGTTAATTTATTTAGTATATGCGTACCTACCTTTTCGCAAACATGTTAAATTAAAGCTTTTTAAAATGACGGTTCACGTATTTCTGTGCGGCTTGGAAAACATGTGCCGGATTAATTACGAAAAAGCTCATACAACATCACATTGTTCGCTTTGTGCTGATTCTAAAAAAGTTATTCAAATCACACATCACAAATAAAGCTTGGAAGTGTTTCATTTATTTTCATCATTTTCATTATATGGCAGTTACCGATAATTATACAGAATTCGACTAAGTATTTATATTTACTATCTGAAAAGTGCAGGTACATTTTGAACGATGTTAAGGCATAAAGTTTGGTGCAGTTTCTTCCACCAAAATGAGTAGCAGCAGTTAAATGAGATTGTAGATAACATCCGACCTACGAAGATATCTCTTAAATCCCTAAAATTAGAAGCTAAACTTTAATTTCAATAATTTACAAACTTAATAGGAACGTCGACAAAATAATGTTACTTCGTGAAATAAACTGCGAGATGTGCAGCGAGCTTGAGAATTTTAATGAAACGTTGATTTGGAGGTGTTGAAATTCTAGAATCGCTTGGATCGATGACTTTTAACTATAAGCAAATGAAAAATCATAATTTATGGCCTCATTCATCACGACTACCTCGCTGAATTATGCTGTCCTGACAACTTCAGGTATAAAGGGCTAGGTCCGGACTGGACAAACAGAAGACCTCTCCATCACTGACTGACAATTCGAAACTTGAAAATGTTCCAAGTCATCCCTAGTTGTTTACGTAGACTTTAATAAATGACCACGACTCTTAACAATTAGTGCACAAGATGAGAAATCTTGTACTAGAAATTTTGAATGACAAAGTCTTATTCCCTCTACTTTTATAAGCAAGCAATCTAGATGCACCCACTTCACAAATCTAATAACACTAATTTTGAATTAGGAAAACGAGGGTCTGTCGGTAATGCGTCCCTAGGAAAGTTTAAAAATTGCACCCCTACAATCCCACAGGCACAATGTCTGCGTATATATTAATTTTAATAATATTTTGCCACGTAACTAATTCGTTTTGTTTTTGTTTAGATCTCAGCATTACGATAATCAACAGCAACAACAACTGAAGCAATTATTGAAAGAGAATAATCCTGCGGCCATAAAGGCCGAGAAAGTTAATAATAACGAAGAGGAGCATCAGGATAATCAAGAGCCGGAATCGACCCAAACCGAGAGCTCGAATTCGAATAATAATAATCAGCAAGGGAGTAGATCCTTGCAGTGCCTTGAGACGTTGGCGCAAAAAGCCGGAATTCACGATATTACAGCGGATGATTGCAAATATGACATCGCAAATACGCTACTCAATCTAGACAGAGGGCAGGATAATTTAATCAAGACGGAGTATATCAGCAACAATATGGCCGACATCAAAAATCAACAGCAGCAGCAGCAGCAACCACAACAGCAACAGCAGGTATAGTGATTATTATGTACATTGCGCTAACAAACGGAACTTTCTCTAACTAACATTAATTGTATTGTGTAACAATAATTTCATCAGTGGTCAGTTATGTATGTTGCAGATGGTAGATGCTAATGCACAGGCGCAGGCTCAAGCCCAAGCCCAAGCGCAGGTACAGGCCCAAACTCAAGTGCAAGTTCAAGCGCAGGCCGTTCAACAGCAGGCCACAATGCAGCAGGTCAATTTGCAGCCTCAAGACCAACAGGCCCTCGTTCCTGCTCAAAGTCCGCATTTGCAGCAGGTTGCCGTTGCATCTTCAGGTAACTTGACGATGAGTAAATGCTGCCATCCAATCAGTAGTTTGAAGGATATAATTTTTTTTTGGTAAAATGAAAAAGTGCCGTCCACGAATCAAAAGTCAAATAATAGCTTGGCAACATTAACGAACATTCGATGATACTTCTCTTCAAATCGCATTCTCTATTGTTCACTATTTTATGCAAAATTGAATCCTTGTATGGACTGATATAAGGGCTTGCTTCTAGTAGTTTTCGAGATATTCATTAAAATGTGCCACATTTTTGTGGAACACCCTCTGTTTTAACACGACGCTAGGAAAGCCCAACACAGCAATGTACGCAGGGTATGCATCGGGATATTTTTGTTTCGGTGCTAAATTAACTCTAGATTAGAAAAAGGAAATATTCAGCAGGAAAGTGGTTACTTTTCAAAAGTATTTAGCAATATGCAGGATGTTCCTAAACATGTCGCATAGCAAGTTACTAAATTTTGTAGAATATCTCGAAAATTGCTTAATAATACAGGGTATTCCAAAAAAAATTTTGATTGCATCATCACTCCAACTGACATTACGTTATACTATTCTGCGCAACTCGTATTTTGATTTTTTATGAGATTTTTGATTTTGGCCAGACATAGTACGTCGCCTTGCCTCGCTCAGACAACATACACCGGATTCGGCGGTCACGTGATGGCCATAGTAAGCCTTAGCATAGGCAGTTTTTCGATTTTTAAAAAAAAGCTTTGTTTTTTTGGGAATATCTCCTAAATAAAGTAGGTTTTTTTTTTAATTTCTGTAACTCGTAGCCGCTCATTTTCAACTTTGGACATTTTTGACGGTAAATCACACCTAGAACGAAAACTCTAAACCGTAAAGTACACGTACCTTCTTGCGTATTCCGTGTGAGGAGGCAAAAAATTGCCACCTCAAATGTTTTTCCTAGTGAGAATATTCAGCAGAATTGATTCTCTTCCTACTTCAACCCACATATAACCCCTCAGAGTCCGAGTCTGACACAAATTTAGTGGTCAGGGGTGGTGAGCCCCTGGGGCTCACACTACTCGTGTCGATAAAGTTTCCTTTATTAACGAGCTCCTACGCATGATTTATGTCCGTCCGTCTGTGAACATGATACCTCGCGTACTGTTTTAAATTTGTCAATTCTGTTTCCAGTATTATGTTTATCATATCGTCCAAAGAAGAACTGATTGTGACCCAGGAGCTTCTGTCCGTCCGTCCGTTAATCTGTAACAAATATAGCAGACGAGCTTTGGGGTCATTGAAAATTTAATCAGTTCTTCGGGTTCTTCCTTGGGCGATGATAAACATAATATTGAAAACAGAACCGTTAGCGAGTTATCATGTATACAGGAATGAAGAACTGACTACATTTTCACCCAGTCCTCGTTTGCTATATTTGCTACAAGTTTATTACCTTTAACGAGTCGAGTTCGATTTCTCGATACTCTACTCGTGTATTGGCAAATGGCAATCGACCGTTCACCAGAAAAGCTTAGGATGAGAAATTAACTAAATGTCGACCACGTACGCCTCGGGAGTCAAACGTACGGGAGAATTCAATAAAGCACTCCCGTCGCTCATGTTGATAAATCTCCTTTTATCACGTTCGATGAGTAACCGTCGAGTATACGTTCGTTAATACTTTCCTCCGAGAAGTACTTGAATCGTACGGCATCCGATAAACCAGATTTAGGTACTGGAATTGAGTAGCTCACGCATCAAGCGTATATAGGTAAAAGCCATGGAATTTGGCAAGTAAGTGGTCTCGGATACTTAGCTTCAACGCTGAAAATAGTGTAGCTACTGAGCCCCTCCACCTCGAAAAGGTGTCTCCGAGACTACAAACGAATTCTTTTGGTAACAGTCGATTTTGGATAAGAAATATAACTCTATCCGCGACCGCTGATCTTTAACTTAAACAACGGGCTCGTACGATTTGTTTCCGAAACCTTGCGTCAGCGATACCTCGAGTATGAAAGAGATCAGAGGGAGCATTTCGCGTCGAAAGCAACTCACTTGCCAAATTTCGTCGCCTCTCGACTTCACATTAAATTGTCAAGAATGGCGAGGGTTGAAAATTCCACCCTCTCCGCCAGAGCGACCGGGTGCTGTTGTGGAACTGATGGTCTACCTGTCCGCGCACTTCCTTCAAGAATTTCAACCACCACGTTACAACCCCTCACTATTGAAGGAGTTTTTCAACTTTTCCAAAAACATGACGGCAGCCGTGTCCCCTGGTGCCCCTTGAGATACCCCAAAAAAATAACTCGCTTTTCCTTTACGTACCCCACCGCTCACCGATCAAACTTCGACCAAAAAACCGCAACTCGATAGCGCCATTGCTCATTTACGGCTTTCGAACTTCACTCCTGCGCCGTGGGGGTTTGCTCTATGCACTGGGCGCGTTTGAAGCGCCTTATTCCGCTACTCCTGCACTACTGAAGAGCTAGCTCTTTTTTTTTCGAAAAATTCCTGCTTCGCGAAGCGGTCGCGCCAGACCAAAAAAAATCTAGAAGTGCTCACCCTTAACGAATACGGATTCTGAACCACAGTTGAGGAGCTGTAGGTCGAAAATGCGTTTTTTCTCTTGTTTACATTTCTAACGGTAGCCCCCTCTCACCTCTCCCAGGGATGCGATATCATTTTTAACCTTGATCGACGCGCTCACCTTTACTAGCCTCCTTAGGCATGGCGGCGACAATAAAAAATCGTCCACCTTGGTCCAAATCTGTAGATTGAGCTTAAAAAATGCTAAAAAGTCAGGGGTGAGGGTAAAGTATCACAACCCTTCTTTGTGGGCGCCTACGTAATGGAAGACATATACCCTTCAAAATTCATTACTATTGGTGGAACCGTTTGAAAGCGCTCAAGACCGTTGATAACTCAAAATGTAGCATTGTCTATTTTCAGGCCCTTCACGTTACACTACAACAAAAGATATTTTATATTATACAGGTGCACAATGTGTGCAAGCGCAACCTCAACATTCAGTTCATCAACAAGTTGGACAAGGCGGACAAGTTCTTCAAACTCAAGGTGGACAAGTACTGGCACCAACACAGTCAGGAAACACAACCATTACTACAATGTCTCCCTTACAACAAGGCCAACCCCATCCACAACAAATAAGTACGGCCGATTGGGGACACGGACGAGCTGTAAGTCTCTAGCAGATATATCCTGTAACATTTTGTAACGCTACATCTTGCAGGTGCAAGTAATACAGCAACCACTACAAAATCCTACATACTTACAACAATTATATAACACATCCGGTCAGTTACTAATGCCTGGGAATATTGCGCTTCATCCTAGCATCAACCCACAGCAAATTCAGGTCCGTAACCTACTCTAATTATGATTCAAGTTAACTAAGACAATTATAGGTGATCACCAAACCTTTTCAAGGAAATCAACTGGCCCCTCACATGTTGACAACTGCACAAGGGAAGCAAGTACTACAAGCAGGTCAAGCCAGTAAGTATCTCCCACACTGATTTTCGTCGTACCCTGACACATTTTTTAACAGCTTCATTTCCCGGATATACGACAATACCTACAATTCCGACAACCCAAAATCAGCAGACGCTGGTTTTCAGTCAACTAGGCGTCATAAGTTCGCAACCGAATATACTGCCAACCCATTCGGCGTCTGGTGCCACGACTATACCACAACAAAAACCGCCTGAAATACATAAGGTAAACATTTCGGGTGCTTTCAGTGCCTACAGTGACTTTATTTAGGTAATGGGTGCTCAGAAGGTGATGCAAAAGGTCACGGGTAGTAATGCATCTGTGTCTGGAACTCCTCAACAGCAAGGGCAGTGTGTGCAAGTTTCTCAAGCGATGATAGGTTCGCAACCGACTGCGCAGATAATTAGTCCACTACAGGTAAGGGTTTGAATTTCTACTAACGAAGGTTACGTAATCGTCGAATTTAGCCTGGAGGACAACCAATGCAGTTTGCCACCCCGTGGCAGTTCACCAATGGCATTCCACAAGTTTGGACCACTAACGGTTTACAATCACAGGCGTTACTCGCACCCAACCCTATTCTGATCAGAGGAATGCAACCAGATGGCACTCCTGGACCCGGTATGTTTATTCACCAAAGTCCACAAGCCACTGCTATCCAAACTCAACAAAATCGTAAGTGAAGATTCAAATTATGTATCATTGCATCAACTCGTCCCCTTTGCAGCTGCTATAGCCAACCAAGGGGCGATGCAACAGATTGGAAAACCGAGACCGGCCAATGAAAATATACAACCCAAACAGCAAACGACTCGGCCGCTGAATATACTACCATCGAACACCGCCAATATTCGACCGGCTAACTCGATTTCGACTCAATCCATTGGAACTCAAGCACAAGTACATATACTTGTATGTTGTCCGTCAAATTAATTTCTCAATTACTTTATCTTATATGTGAAAACCCGCGTTAATTGTCTTTCTTGTATTTAGGCGGGCATGGGAGCCAAAACGGGAACGAAGGTTCGGGCGAAAGCGCCTGGTATCCGAACGTCGCCTGCACCTAAAGCTGATGCCGCCAATCAAACTCAGATTAAGCCGTACACAACCTTGCAGCCACATCACCTGGTTGCTACGAATAAGTAAGTGGGTACTAATTGCGCCGGAAATTAGATAATCGTGCATGCCATTTGTATACACGATATATCTACAACTTCCCAGATTATCATTGGAGATCTCTGTGTATAAATTTGAAGTTGAAATTTCATACGTCGTTCCCCTCCAAACAGTTTTTGACGATCTAACTTTGCGGGTGACTAACAATTTCTAATTTAGAATTAACGTAACGGCACCAATGACAATTGACAAGAATCAGCAAATGGTAAATCAGAACAAACCACAACCTCAGCAGCAGCAAGTCCAGCCCCAGCAAACTGTTTTGATGCAGCAACAAGCATTGCAGCAACAGCAAGCCTTGCAACAGATTCAATTTCAACACACTCAACAGCCCCAGCACATTCAACCGAAACCAGTTATGAGTAAGTGGTTTGCTGAACCGACCGAGATCTATTAACAAAACTGTTTTATAGCAATGCAGACAATCCAAAGCCTGCAGCAACAACAGATTCAAGGCAGCGGCGAGCGCCAGATAATGCCGGTCGTGTCGATGTCCGTTCAAGGCACCCAGCAAATGCAGCAAACGTTACAGCAAACAATTCCCGGTACCGTTCCTCAAGGCATCCCCCTGCAACCGAATTTGGCCGTCACGCAACAACCCATGTCGATGGGCATGCAACAAATCCATCCGGTAAGTCGACCTTCTCTGCCAGTCACTCTTTATTGAGTTCTTTGAACAGTTAACGCAAATTGCTCCGAACGGTACAATCATTGGCCAACTACAGACGGCACCGGGCACCCCTACGACGATTTCGCAGGTAACGCAACTGCAACAAATACAGCAGGGTACGCCACAGACGCTTACCCTGTCTGTACCTCAACAAGTCCCGCTACCGCCTACAATTACGACTATTAAGGAGGAAATTAACCTAAACGGAAGTATCGCTGAGACCACAACTACGACGGCAACGTCCACTCAGAGTGAAGAAGATATTATGAAGGAAGGAATGGAAGGTAGATTGCCGTTCTGTTTCTTACTGATAAATTTTTAGTCGTTCATAATTCAAACAAACTTAATTGCATAATTAAAGATCTGATCCCTTCTCGCATTCTTCCGCCTTTTGAGACACTAGTATTTTTTTGCTTCTTCGCACACTTCTATGTATTCTAATTCTTCTGATTCTTCAACTTTTTGAATCCATAGGATTTTTTACACTCTTCAGTTTCTTATTCTTTGGGTACATACTTCAATGCATTTTATATTTTTCGATGTTTCAGCTTTTTTGAATGTTTCCAATGTTTCAGATGCTTATGGATGGTTTTTTCTCTTTCTAAATGCTGCAGATCACTTGTAATCTTCAATTTCTTTGCATGGCTTGAATTTTTCCGGTACTTTTTTTCTCGAATTATTCTCCCTTGTAAAAATCTAGTCTTTGAATTTTTTCCTATTCTTCAAGCTGCAGATTCTTAAGCGTCAAAATCATTATTTTTGCACCGATTTTATTGGGAAGACTTTATCTTGATGTCAAGAAAATGCTTTATATGCTGAAGATTTTTCGAATTTGTCTTATTCTTTGGTTTTTGAACCCTTCGGTTTGATCAAATTCTGTCATTTTTTTTTATTTCTTTAGAGTCTGGTTTCTTTGCATTCTTCGGATTCTTCTGAGAGATCGCGTGTTCTTTAAATTTTTCCATTTTTCTAAATTCTGCGAACCCCTTGCATTGGAGTTTTGGTATGCTTTGGATTTTTATGATTTTAATGATTATTTTTAGTTTCTTCCAGTTCCTCCGGTTCTCTTCCAGTTCTTGGGAGTGCTTAAGATTTTTCCGCTTCTTTCGATTTCTCGATTTCTTGACCTTCATTAAATCTTCCATATCAGCAAATGATAAGTCTGAATCATCGATCATTACAGTATCAATTTTTGCTCGAATCAATTTACACACATTTAGTTTTAGTACATTGCCAATATCCACATTGAAGAAGACGGATTGGTGCGCAAATGTAGACAATTATTATTTGCGCGTGGATACCCATCTATGGTTGGTGTCGGAAATTTGACTTGCACTTTTCTTCACCTTGTAAATTGACCTCCCGCGTGAGATGTCGTCCATCCTCACCTCATCTTTACTTTGGCTTATATTATTTTGCTCCATATTGTGTGAAAGACATTTTCCTGACACCGTGTTTAATTGGAAGCTCTCGAATTTTCATGTGACAGAATAGTGCCATTATTTTCATTTTCTTTTATGATCAAACTCAAAAATGAAACCTATTTTTTAATGTATTTTGTGTATTTAACGTTATTTTATTTGTTACACACCTTAGTATCAGATAATAACACTAACACTGTGAGCAACTACTTATGAAATAATCAATATTAATCTTCAATTTCGTCATCTCAGATGTACATCTAAGAGATTTGTATTTACGCAAAACAAGACTCAAACATTTTTGATTAGATTTAAGCTTATCTTGCGGACGAAATAGATCATTGCGTTTCATTTACAGCACAAGTAGGGATGAAAGACACAGAAATGGAAGACATAAAACCCCTTAGCAACGGAAACGATCCCTCACTTATACCGTCTTCTACTGCCACCCCGCTAACTCCACTACCAGGCACTGTACCGACACAACCAGCAAGTATTTTACCTGAAAATGGTTTGCCTGTTGCTGCAACTGCTGAAGAGATCAAAGAAAAGGGTCCTCCGAAGGCGATGGTCAAACCGCAGGTTTTAACGCACGTGATTGAGGACTTTGTAATACAGGAATCTTCCGAACCATTTCCGGTTGCAAGAAGTAGCTTGCTCAGCGATTTGAAACCGACCCAATCTTCTACTGACAAAGTCGATGAAACAAGTCGTATGTGCCGAACTGTTGAAAGAAAACTATCACTAACCTTTTCACATTTAGGAAAACGTCGCGCGACCTCCCCTCTTAGTAATGTGATTGGTACTTCGCCAAAAGGAGAACTGGCTAAATGTGACGGATGCGGTATTGTTGATCTTAGGGCCAAGTTTAAGAAGAATAAACGGTTTTGCAGTATCAACTGTTCCAAAACGTAAGTTTATCATTTATTGTTAGTTTCTTCAACATTACTGTCGGTTTGTTTACTCTATGCGCGCCTTCTAATTTTTATGGTCCCCCTGTATCTCTTTGAACTACACTAACAATCCCAATAACTACCAATTGCAGTCAAAAAGGAAAAGGAGACGAGAAGCGCGGCAAATGGAAAGACGTTGACGGCGATCTTGTCGGATCTGGCGCCGAAAGTAGCCTCAGCTCGAGCGATCCCACTTCTGGTACCGAAGCAGCCGACGATAAAGTGAATCCCCTAAAATGGAGTGTAAGTATTTCAGCCCATTATGTGCCAAAATCTAGGATTTCGTTTAGGTTCAAGAAGTATGCGACTTTATTCGAAATTTACCTGGCTGCTCTGATTACGCGGAGGATTTCCTAATACAGGAGATCGATGGACAAGCATTGATGCTTCTCAAAGAAGACCATCTGATGACCGCAATGGCAATGAAACTTGGCCCTGCCTTGAAAATAGTCGCAAAAATTGACGATATGCGAATAGACAAGGAGCAACCAAAACAGTAATCGCGATTGATACTTATGACGGTGAATTATCTCGGAAGTTGAGAGTTCTTAAAATATTTATTTTTGTGCCTGTGATTTAACCAAGAAACAGTTATACTGCGGAAGTGAAATTTCGATTTTTCTTACAGATGAAACGATACATACAATTAACTGCCATTGCCAATATGTAAATACTGTAAATAGCTAAAACAGTTAACACTTACTTAATATGTTTATGTAAGACTGTATTCATCAACTACAATAGTTTAGGTTTATTTCGTCCATCAACCATTTTTTTTTAAATAGTTCATTACGATTTGTATATATGTAAAGAATTTCTTTTTGTCAGTAAAGCGCTTACGAATAAAAATTTTATTTTGGTTTTATATTCTGTCGTATTAATCGATTGTAAATTTGCCACCTGTGTTCAAATTTTATAAAAGTTTAGTAAATATTAAACCTATATTAAGTAGTTTCTATCGTCAGTACTTCCCTTTTCCTTTTTTATCATTTGTCTCTTACCATTGTTTAAATACTTTATTTAAACAATGCCCTTACATCATACTGGGGTTGCATTCACCCACCTCTGAATCCAGTCCATCTCCAAAGTTAAAACATAAACCAATCACAAGGTACAAAAAGCGAAACAAAAACGCCAACAAACTACGTTTCAACATCAAAGCGGCCATCATCAGAGAACCACAAACAATTGCTGGCACTTGAGTGCCAGCCAATATTCGTAACTATTTCAAAAGGCAATTGCGCAGTTTGCCTCATTTGTAAACGCCCTCTGTATTTGTGTTTTGTGGTAAAAAATGATAAGTATTTTGTTGTGAATATCTCGATAACGCAATATGCCTTATCGACGTCCTGGTCGGACCCAAAGTCAATATAGCACTATTAGTCCAGGCTATATAATATTTTTGTACGAAAAAAATTAGTTGCCGGGCGAAACTGGGTTTACAGGCAGGTGAATGAATAGAATTTGGGAAAAAATAATTAAAACAGCTGAATTTTTCCGCGAGTGAAGTCACGTACGGGAGTTGAAAGGGGTGGAAAGTGGTATTTTGCAAATTGTGGTAAAACTATTGATTTTAGACGAAAATGTTAAATGTTCCCCCCGTTTTTGCCGCTTTTCTTGAAATTTTTCTATTGGAATAATATTTTTTTATTTTTGATTATTAAAATGTAAGTTGTTACGAAAATTTTGCTACTCTGCGCACCTCTGTACGATGAAAAAAAATAGATTTTTCATTCTCTTGAAAAAGAGGTGATTTTTACAGAAATCGTGAGATCTTGGAAACGGTTCAACTTTATGGGCCCAAACAATTATCTTCTGTTCTATCATAAAACAGGTTATGTTACCTCCAAATTTCAAACCCCTACGACATTTTTTTCGCAAAAATAAACAAAAAAACAGTTTACCGGTTTTTCTATGAAAATTGGAGGTTATGTGAAAATAGTGCAGATACAAAAGTTGCTTATTTTTTTAATCTCTATAACTTTTACATTTAACATTTTCGTCTAAAATCAATAGTTTTGCCACAATTTGCAAAATACCACTTTCAACCCCCGTGATTTCACCCGCGGAAAAATTCAGCTGTTTTAATTATTTTTTCCCAATTTCTATTCATTTCACCTGCCTGAAAAACCCGGTTTCGCCCGGTAACTAATTTTTTTTGAAAATAAATCATTTTAGAGCTATTTAGCCTGGACTATATACGGTATAGTGCTATTTTGACATTAGCAAACTTACACAAAAGGAGGATTTGAGTAAACTTTGAAGGGCGTAAGTTAAAATAACAATCGTTATATGACGTTAAGCGATGACAGAGGTATCCGAAATGACTAAGGTTTTGAGAACTATCATAATAAAACTAAATAGGTACCTAGGTACGTACTACGGAGAAATGTACTGTACATGTAGCCGTCTTTTGTGTCGCCCAGCAGGTATAAATGGGTCGGTCCTTTTTAAAACGAATAACAAGTTGAACGTGACTAATATTAAAGCAAATTAAAATAAAATTCGTATTAAATTCGTGGATAATTTTTATCTGTGGTACTGCTAATAAACATCTAATGAACTGCAAAATTTCGTCGTAATCGGTCCATTCGTTTTTGAGATATCGTGCTAACGGACAGACAGACTCGCTAGGAGCTCGTTAATAATTATAATAGACACATTGATTATGTGAACTACACCTGGTAATATTCATTTGTAATGATACCTACTTTATCAATTTCGGAGGTATCCGCATGGTGTGATGAAATTCAAAATGGAGATGTCCGATGTGTAGAATAAAGTCGTTAAAACAACCAACAAAAACATCAAACATCTTTTCGCCGTAGTTTTCATAATTTTACAAAATGTGACACAAGATTATTTCAAAGACAAAATAGTTCAGGGAATAGAGGGTTTTAACTTGCAAAATTTAGTTGTTCCAATTTCTTTTGCATGTCATAGACAGTCATCTGGAGGTTAAGAATCTAAGATTTCAACCTCCCACCCCTTGTGCTTCCCCCGTACCACCCCCAAAACCCCTGAAATTTGGTTGGTTTCTTGGTTTTTCAATCATATCTGTTGAACTCAAGCGTTTTTGAGTATTTTATTTTAATTTCAAACTGACATAACATTACAAGCCTACTAGCTATTACAAATATTCGTGCTTGCCTTTTTAACATTAAACATAAATATAAATATCCATCAAAATATGACTCAACAATATCTTTTTAATGGTTTACTTTAGAAAAAAATATTGTCATCAGAAATTATACACCATAAAATTCTACACAACTTTGATATACACTACTTTTTTGTGAAATGTTTATTAAAAACGATATAGAGCATCAGAGTTGCTTATATTTTTAACAATTCTGAAATTTGTATGTAGATGTTTTAACCAAATTGTATATTTTATCTCAATAATTAAGAGTTTATGAGAAAATATCTTGAATTTATCGTGGTATAAATCCCTCTACCCTGCACCCTTACCAAAGGGGATGCATAATAATGAAACTTGCAACCCTTGCTAGTGAGGATATTTGAATCACTGTGAGATTGTAGCGCTTTCTAATATACTTTTGAAATTAAAAAATTATCTCACTTCAGTTCAGTTTCACCCCCTCCCCTCGCGCGGTAGGAATAGATATTTAAACGCTCTTGTGGCGATTGTGAAGTTAGTCAGAGAGTACAACGCTTATTATATATGTTTTCTATTCCTCTTTAAATATCTATTCCTACCGCGGTTGGGGGGAGGGGCGGGGGGATGAAGGATTTGAAGGATGAAGCTGAACTGAAGTGAGATAATTTTTTTGTTTCAAACGTATATTAGAAAACCCTACAATCTCACAGTGATTCAAATATCCCCACTAGCAAGGGTTGAAAGTTGAATTATTATGCATCCCCTTTGGTAAGGGTGCAGCGTAGGGGGATTTATACCACGATAAGTTGAAGATATTTTCTCATAAAACTCTTAATTATAGAGATAAAGTATAAAATTTGGTTAAAACATCTACATACAAATTTTAGAATTCTTAAAAATATAAGCAACTCTGAAGCTCTATATCGTTTTTAATAAACATTTCACAAAAAAGTAGTGTATATCAAAGTTGTGTAGAATTTTATAGTCTACAATTTCTGATAACAATATTTTTTTGTAAAATGAACCTATAAAAAGATATGATTGAAAAACTAAAAAACCAACCAAATTTCTTTGGTTTTAAGGGTGGTACGGGGGAAGCACAAGGGGTGGGAGGTCGAAAACTTGGATTCTTAACCACCATCCGATATTCTTTCATGACATGCAAAAAAAATTGGAACTATATACTTCTCGTTTTGCAGGAAATGGTCCATTTTCAGTCTCTATTTCCTGGACTAGAAATATTTACCATATTTATAATGTTATAATTAAAATTGTCATCGTTTTTTGTAAGTACAAGAACTCTGTATCTGAGCTCTTCAGCATGCTGTTTCAAATATCTTTATGGGTATCTAGGTAAAACTTCTAGAATGTATCAATTTTAATTTTTAATCTCCTCAAGGTATGTGTACTTTTTAACTCTGTAAATTTCATATATCTGTAACCGATGTTATAGCCAGAAGATGACCGTTGGTCGAAACTAGTCGCTTTTACGTCTTGTCCATTATGGTTTGGAAGGTTTTGTGTTTTTGTTGGTTATTTTAACGACTTTATCATTTTCAGCAGCATTAGACCTTATCGAGTTAATAATTTTTAAAATTAAACAAATATGGCAAAGGAGTTTTTAGGTATATGGCTATGGCTTGAAAATGCGTATTAATTATATGGCTCAAGCTATGTTCATTTTTAATTCATAACAAGATGTCAAAAGGCCCCCCCCCCTTATTTTTTAACCTACACTACCAATTTTCGAAATCCCATCTGCAAAAATTGATAAAGAATCCACCTGCAAAATTTTATCGCAATGGGTCCATTCGTTTTCGCTATCGAACAGACCGACAGACACCGCAAAATTATGATGGTGCTGATGCTTGTTGATTTAAATTCAAATTTATTCTCTGGTCCTACTATGCATTTACACATCTACTTATATTATGTATTCTGGTGGCTTTTGGACAACTTTGCTAAATGCATAATTAATCTTTGAAAAGATAAGCATTTATTCAAAATCGGCTTATTATATGTTTTCAATCACTGTATGTATCAGAAATAAAGCAGAAAATATACAAATCTGGAATGTGTATTATGTATTGTTGGTGGTCTATTTGCAATAAAATTGTCTACCCGGCCGCCTTTCTGTATAATGATTATGTGTACGTACAGCTCTGATTATACATAGGCATTGAATAAGTAATTACTTATTCAATATTATGTTATAAAACAGAAAAGATTGCACTGGACATTAGGACAGTGAAAACAACCACAAAACCTGAAGAAGACTAGACCAAAAATCCGATCAAGACGAATGCAGATATAAAAGAAAAGAAGAATTGGAAGGACAAAGCAAAGATATGGCACAACCTAAATCAGTTTAGAGCCATTATGGCCTGGAATAGAATTTTTAATTCATTCCTTTAGTGATACGTATGATGTGTCGCCTAATCTCCAGGATGAAATAACAATCGGTTGAGCTTTGGCGGGAAAACAAGTAGGCATAGTTATTTCCTGTCCATTTTTTACGATATTTGGGTCTTGCTTTATTGTTAATGCCGTTCGAATGGACCAAGAAGAACTCCAAGCAAGCAACGAGATTTTTTATTGGAGACTGTATAATTTTGTATGTGATTTTTCTGTCGAAATAATTTATTTGATTACACTATTTTTAAATTTCCCGCTCAAATTTTGCACTGCGTAAAGTTGGCTGTTCTGTTTCTCACCTCTTGAATCTTGATCTCGATGCAGTCTTTTGCATTGCTTGAAGCGGCAATATTTTGAGCTTCTCCTGAGAGTAAAACCAACGAATTTAAATTGAGAAAGCTTTATTTAGGTAAGTTCCATAAGCTAATTAACGTTGTACTCATTTTCATTGACTGACTACTGTGGATAATCGGTGTAATTCTTTTTTTTTATGTTAAGGTGAAGGTCACCATTTTACTTCTAACCGTTATCATGAATTAGCGAAGCATATTATTCGATTTAAAGATTGACGATTTTCTCTTATATTCACAATGGAGGCAAGCAGTAATAATACAATGTATGTGACCTATGTTGAAAAGCATGGAGCTTTCGTAAAGGTATGGGGTCAGGTGGACAAACACTATCCTATTTCGATTGAGAATTGCTTAGGAGAATTAAAGCCACAGTTTGACGAAGGGCACTACGCACTGGCATCACCTGCTAGCATTCAAATTGGCCTGATGTGCTGCGCGAAATACAAAGATGAAATGTATTATCGAGCCAGAGTAACTAACGTCAGTTCGTTATACCAGAACTTTGTGGAAGTCCACTTTGTCGACTATGGGAACAAGGACATTGTGCCGACCTCGGTTTTACGAAGCGGTGCAGAGTTGTCAAATATACTGGTGACGGTTCCTCCACAGGCCCACGAGTTCGTTTTGGCCAATGTCACGCATGTCGGTCACGCGTGGGAGGCACGTACAATCGCGCTGATCAGTGACGAGATTCGGTATATGAACTTACAGTTTATACCTGTCCAACAGATTAACCCCTATCTCACGTTGATTAAGCTGTTTAAAAATGGGGAAGACTACGCTCTTTCTTTGTTTAATCGAGGGTACGTTTTGTGCATGGCTAATGTTTCTCAGACTATGATTTTGCAAAGTATAAACTCGACTCCGCCACCTACGGTTAACCAAACACGTGTAGCTTTACCACCACCTCAAATACCTCCAGGGATACCAACACAAATGCCTCAGGTGGCCGTTCCGGTCGCAGCACCCTCCCAACCGACCTTACCTGTGCAAAACACAACTACACTCCTAACATTCAAAGGACATACAATTACCCCCGGAACGGACCACCAAGTATACGTCTCCTATGTTTCGGACGGACCCTGCCACTTTTCCGTGCAACTGCAGAGGCTAGAAGAAAACCTGGCGAAGCTAATGCGCGAGCTGAATCGAATGGAGCTGCAACCTCTGGAAGAGCACCCCCTACCGGGCACGGTCTGTTTAGCCAAATGTGTAGAAGACAACAATATTTGCCGAGCCGTCATTACAAGTATGTCGAATAATGAAGCCAAAGTTTTCTACGTGGATTTCGGCAATACTGAAGTAGTGGCAAACGAACGACTATTCCAAATACCCTTAAAATTTGTGATTATGAAAGTGATGTCGACACGCTACGCCTTGGCGGGCTTAGAAAACACTACCGTTACCTTGGAAATGAAATGTGCCTTTAAGGAATTTGTTAGTGACAAACTGTTGAGAATGCACAGTCTTCCTCCCCCAGCCAAGTTCGGCTTACCCCTCTGTCATCTTTGGGATGAGAAGCAAAACAATGCCTTAGATGTCATGAGAAAAGTAGCCTTACTGGCCTACCCCGAATCGACCACTCTCACTCGCGGATTCTGCCAGGAAGTCATTGTCAGCTACGTCTACAGCTGCAGCCATTTCTATGTGCAGCTAAAATCGAAAGAGGAAGATCTAAGAAGACTGATGGAGGAATTACAAGCCATCGGCCCTCAAGCGCACCCAATGAAACTCTCGGAGGCAAAAACTGGCCTGCCGTGTTTTGCACTCTTCGACACAGACGGTCAATGGTACCGGGGCGAAATTATAAGCTTAGAAGGTGACATAGTCAAAGTACGTTACGTCGATTACGGTAACGAAGAACTAGTTAACATCATCAACCTGAGGATACCGTCGGGAGATATGGTCACCGTTCTCAGACCCCAGGCTTTGGAGTGTTGCCTCAACGGTTACCAGAACATGTCGGACGACGTTGAAAGAGACACCATTTTGGAAGAGCTTATTTTGGAGAAGGAATTCTCGATGAGAGTCATCGAAATGCACTCCAACCGGGCGCTGGTGGATTTGATTGATAGCTCTCGTTACAATGTTGGATCTTTGCTGCTAGAGAAGCTCGCATTGGCCCGGTCACAAGTTAGTCCCTTGCTGATACAGGATAGTTATCAGATCGAGCCGAGAAAACGTCAGAGTCCGAATGAGAAGTATGAGAGAAAAAATTCACGGTAAGTACATACACAACTTGGCAAAAAATCATTTCTCACTTCTCAAAATTTTGTCATTGATTGTGCTTGTTGCATTTTGATTTTTATTGAGCCAAAACTCAAAACATGAAGTTAGCTTAGTTCTAACTGCTATTTTGGACCAGAGAGACCCAATGTCTTCATCTTGATCCCAATTTGTTTGAGGAAACCGTTAAAAGGAAGAGACAAAGAAAATTAGCTTTGTTGGCAACCGATATTTATGTGAACACGTTAAAAAAAATGGATTGCGCATGCGCAGACCGCAAACCTAACTGCAGTGTGCAGTTTGAAAGTGCAAGAAAATTCACAGTGACTTACACTGATTATTTCTGACTTATAGAAGCAAATGGCGTACATGCGCAAATCAGTTGTCTGATTTGTAATGAATGTTTTCTTTTTAAAGAAAGGAAAACTGAGAGCATATTTCCAAATTGGGATCACACATGCGTAGTATCTTAGTGTCTCTTATGCATCAATTTTGTTGGAAAAAATGACTAACTCTATTCCTTGATGGCCAGAAGTGATCCATAAACATATTGCACCATGCATTTTTGGTGCCCAACACAGGGGCGGCTCTCTATAAAGAGCCAAGGAGCCATGGCACCACCTCAAGGAACCTGCTAATTATCAATTCTTAAAATATAATTAACTATTATTAATTGTGCTCACTAGAGTACATAATTGTGTTTTAAAACCTTAAAACAAAAAAAGTAAATGATTTGATAAATTAGGTACCAAGAAAAATTCATTTGTGCTTATCCGTGGACTTCAAATACGGTCGAGCCGTGCCAAACTGAAACTGGCTCGTATTTTCCTACAAGTGTGGACTTCCGCGGGGAGTAGAGGGGTGGGAGGAGCGAAACCGAAGTAGCGTTTTATACGTACAACTTGAGCCATCAGAAGTTTGGCTCATAAGCACAATTGAATAATGTGTACGTGTATTACTATGCTTTGCGCCGTTTTCCTTGTTTCAGTCGTGATAAGTCAAACAATTTTTTTTTACTTCTGTGTAAGATTACACTTCCCGGATTAATTGTTACGTAAAATACACAAATTAAAAAATCATTTAAATAAATCTTTTTCCATGCATTCTCTGGAAGATAGACTTTAAATAAAGCAATTAAGCAGGCCGTTACCGGACTTAAATATTGTTAAAAAACGAAATGTGTCTGAATCTTCTTTAAGAGGACAAGACAATAGCGATAAATCCGAAAATAAAGGAGTAGGTATTCAGAGAATTAATAAATTTCGGTACTTGTTTAGATAAAGATTTGAATAGTTATTTGTACAACTATTGTTGAAAATGATACTTCGGCCTCATTAATAAAACTGCAAATAAAATGTTGCTATTGTTTATAGATCGGACTAAACGCCATGGAAACGGATAGTACAAATCGTGAAAAAAGTAACACTTTCCATACGATTTTTTGTCAAAAAAAATCCGCTAATTCTCATCTAAAACAACACAAAATGAATTACTGGAATGCATACTTGAAGTATACTTGAAACAAGTCTCCAAAGAAATTAAAGGGGCTAGATTTGTTTCCGTCACTTGCATTATAAATATTCGAATTATACTCAAAATCTAAATAACTGGAATAATATGAAAACAAAAATTTGTAACTATTAAAATAATGGGGAGGGGGACACAATTTGGCACTACCTTCTACGCAGCTTACGAGCCGCCACTACTTGGACTTCATTTGGAAACAAGGAAATTATTTGTTTGCTCATGTTATCGCCAGCTGCCACATTTAACGGTCTCTCATTTTGAATAAAATGGTCTACAACTTTGTAAACCAAAATTTGTCTTTGGTTGTCGTTAATGTTTTCTTTCCTATCGGCCATACTAAGGATCAATTTTCCTTCTCTTGATCCATTTAAAATTTTTCGTAATTCAATCATTATTACTGGTGTCTCGTCTCCATTATCATTCGTTGATGCTGGTAGAATAGTAATGTCAGTGTCCTGCTTCTGTGATAGACCTATGTTGTTGAATGACTTTTGCCAGTCAGAGTTTTTTTTCAAAATGAATTCTTGTCGCTAAATCGTTGATATCAGGCCAAATTGGCTGTAAATGGCGACTGCATGTATACCTTAAAGTTTTCACAGAAAATCTCATGCCAACTAGGAACTCATGTAGATCGGGGAGGCCCCACTCGCTTAAAAGTGCTAATAATTCGTCTCGTTGTTCACCAGTTAAAGGATATCTTGGAGAAGTTAAATAACTATTTTCATTCAGAGTTTGCATTTGTCCATCATCTTGTATTGTGTTTTGATTTGAAATGAGTTCTTCGAAGATATCTCCCTGATTTCCCAGCATTACGTCGCGTAAAATATATGATGGTAACATTGTTAAGTTAAATTCGAATGTTTTGAACTCTCCGGTTTAGTCTGCGAGTGAAACAGGAACCAGATTTGTTACTTTACTATAATAGCACGTTACAAGTCGGGACAGTTAAGAATTAAGAAACCGTGCAGAAAGTTTGCGACAGAATAGTAAGGACCGTTTGCACAGACAAATTTACGACTAGCTTAGCGTACGCGTAGCTTAAAATCCATGGCAACCATTGTCTCAATACCCATTGTCATGGATTTTAAGTTACGCTTAAGCTAAGCTCGGCTTAAATTTGGCGGTGCAAACGGCCATAAATGTATAAGTTAAGTTTTTAGTACCAATATTCCAATTTGCGCATAAGGTGATTATACGTATGAAAAACAACTTTAAAATTTGCAAACTTAATGAATCAAGAATACAAAGAGGTACTAGTTAAGAATCAATATAATTTAAATTATTCACACAGAATAAAATAAAGTGATTATCATTTTTTGTTATAATTCTACCAAATGTCTAATAATAATTATTATTATTTAATAATAATAATTTAAAAAAATTCACATGTTTTCAAAATTTCATCGATCCAAAATCATTAACAATCCGTATCAATTGCTTGAACCATAGTATAGATTTTATTTGTATCTACTACGATTATGACTTCTAATATTTTGTAAAAGTACATACGACTTGAAAATAAAGAAAGGAGGAAGCCCTTCTTATATAACTTGCCTTTAAAATGAATCTCCGAATAACAAACACTCGTTCCGTAGAATTTCTAAAAAATGCGATATAAAATCCTCATGGAGACTATTGACTCTTTTATTCTCGTTAACGAGGAAATCTTTTTCATGGCTAGTGTTTATAAGGTAAAAAGCAAATTTAATTTGCGACTTTTTTGCTAATGAGTTAACAAATATTGATTCGAGAATTCGTAGACCGCGCGTAACTTTTCATTTCTTTATGTTTGGCCTCGAATCTAAAACTCCAAAAATGTCGTGGGGTCCTGATTTTTTTATGATAGTAGGATAATGTAACAGTAGTAGTAGGGGAGCTAGCACGAAATCCACTGAACGAGAATGATCAAAATTTTAACCGATGGAGTTCCATTTTGCCCTATCAGAGTATGCTAAAATCGATCGTCTGCCGCCTCAGGTCATATGACTTAAGGCGCTGCGGGTACTTCTTGTGGTACCAATTCTGAAAGGTTGTTTTTCGAGAAAATAAGTTATACACCAAATGAAAACGTTGATAATAGCTCTTAAAAAAATATTTAAAAAAATCGCGCGCATTTGATAACTCCGTAAAAAAACAATTCTTAGTCGGTTTTTCACGAACTTTCTACGGATATAACTAGGTTACCATTGGAAGAATGAAGCTGATTTTTTTTACAGACTAATGATAGGTACTATTAATGACTTAACGGTGTTTCGTTTTTAAATTTTTTCTCTAATTACAAGATTATCTTATTATCTTAACATTATGAGATATCTTATAATTAGAGAAAAAATTTAAAAAAGAAACACTCTCATAGTCATTGGCTGTACCTATCATTAGTCTGTAAAAAAATCAGCTTCATTCTTCCAACGGTAACCTAGTTATATCCGTAGAAAGTTCGTGAAAAACCGACTAAGAATTATTTTTTTACGGAGTTATCAAATGTGCGCGATTTTTTTAAATATTTTTTTAAGAGCTATTATCAACGTTTTCATTTGGTGTATAACTTATTTTTTCGAAAAACAACCTTTCAGAATTGGTACCGCAAGAAGTACCCGCAGCGCCTTAAGTCGTATGACCTGAGGCGGCAGACGAACGATTTTTCAGCTTCTAAAACTGCTATTTCATCCACCAAATTTTTCAGACAAATATTACCGTATTTATGGTAATCAGAAGCTTCCAAAAAAACGGCACAATAGATTTTATCTAATCTGGAATTGTTGAAAATCATAGGAAAAGAATAGTAAATTCCTGATATACCTAAGGAATGGCTTCCTAAAGGATTATTGATTTCGAAATCATCCATATATAAAAAATATGGAATAACGTAGTCGTCCGCCCCAAACTTTTTTATCTTAGTTTCCCACAGCTCACCCTGAATAAAATGTTCTATTTCTGAACTGCTACTCATCTCCCGACTTAAATTTAAGTAACTTTCTAATGTATCGGGATTGTTCTCAAATACCTTTTTAAACTGAAACTTTAATGGTAACATTACTCCTTACCTCCTCTTACCTTTTCCTCATAATTTAATTGCCCATTACGATATACCGGTACCATGTCTTTATTGATTGTAAATTCTGAAGAATCACGCATGTAGTCATGCTCTTCAAGCCATTTTATTAATGTGTATTCACTGTCACACATTATAAATGGGTTACTACAATAAGTTAAGAGTACATCAATATCAGAATGCAGACTTTTAAAATTTTTAATTTTTTTGCATAACGCCATTCTAATAAGGTCCACAAAAGACTGAGAAATACAATCTTTTACATAATTTTGTATACTCAAAACATCTTTAAAATTAAAGTGGTTTTTGCAGTGAAGCCCTATTGTAAAATTTATTGCCGACTTTAATAGCGTATTTAAAGAATCGTTGAAGTCTATACTTGAATCAAAGTCATTATCAAAATTGGTAGAATATTTAGGGATTTCTTCTGTACGGTTGGTAGCATTT